AACCTCTCGTCAATATGCGTTTTTCGCATTGCATTGCTGCAAAAAACGCATAAAAAACCCAGGCTGCAGTGCACGAGACTTGCCCGGTGCGCTCATGCGTTTTTTTTTTTTTTTGCGGACCTTGCAAATCGCTAACAGTAGGAATAGTTCTTGCGCTGTACTTTAAAGCTTAGACTCATATCGGCCTTGTTTTGGTTTCTTCCCATATGCATGGGGATGGGCATCGGCTGGAATTAAGGTGTTGCATTATGGAGCTCCAGCGTGCATGATTATCAGTTTTTATGTGTTTCTGCATATATGCAAATTGCAAAGACGCATACTGCAACGACCCTGTCTGTGTGTGTATTCGTCTCTCCGGGTATTTCAACTCAGCAACGAAGCAAGCTCCGGCGTCAAAATTTAGCCAGTTGTTTCCTCGGCCAAGTACCACCCTAGGACCGCTGTGCGAGCCCTCACGCACGTTTGAGCTCGCGTACGAGCACGTGAAAATTTTGGCGGGAAAATTGCTAACTCGAGTATGAGAAAAGCTAAAAGGCTGAAATTCTGAGGGAATGTTCCTCACTTATGTGCGACTAAAAGATTTCAATTTCAACTTTTTTAGTGGGGTCTTTTTCGCGCCAGCAACCTTCCGTTTGTCGGGTCACTGAAACCGGTATCTGTAACTGACATGACAAGTAGCTGCACAATTAACTTCTTGAACTTCAAGGGCCAGTATGTCACAAATTCTAGCTACTGTGATTCCTTGCGACTTTGCTACAGCACGAAATAGTGCAAAAACACATGATCGCACCGCCTCGCCTGATGCGTTCCCGGCTGGGTCTGCATGAAGCCCGCTCGTTTTTCCGATGAATGCTCGTTCACTAAAAAAATGCAAATTTGATGGAAATCAGAAAAGGATTATGAATTCTGCAAAACGCATTCGCTTTTGAGTTTGCGACAAAATCGAGTATTTGTCATGTCCGCGTGCTCGGAATTTCACCTCCAAGCTGAATTAAGACCACGCTCGAATATAAAATACCCTTGCAAAGTCTCAGCTTCGCAGCTTTCCTGTTAAGCAAAATAGCCACTTCGCTAAAAATATCTTTGAAATGCCCTAAATCGCGGCGTACGTGTAAATCGAAACTCAGTTTAGGCATGCGATTTCCCTTATGAATGCTAAATACTTTGAAGAAATTTCATTTACTGTTTACTGTTTTACGGCTAGTTTCGAGATAGCACAGCGCCAACTGCGAACGTGACGTGACCGTACACGCCGCATAAGCATGCGCAGTAATTGAATTTGTAATCTCTAGCTCATACATGCACTGAGAATATCCTTGCAGAGTTTCAGCTTTCTATCACGTGTTCGCGAAATCGTTTTCCGCCAAAGAAGTTTGCGCTTTTCTTTCGGGGATCCGTACGCCAAATGTAGGCGTGTTTGAGCATGGGTTTTAAAACGGGAGGGTGACACATGTTGTGGGAATATGACCATAAAATTTTAGCCTTCTAGCTTTCCTGGTTGCTGAGTTAAAAGTGGATGACAAAGTTCATTCGCTTTCGAACACAAAATACGGACGGTCTCTTGACAATATGCATTTTTGCTCGCTGTAGCAGTGCTATAGCGCTGCACAGCAAAAACGCATAAAAACTGACGGGTGTAATCATCAAATAAATTACAGGATACTTAGTTTTCACGTACATACCTTATTAGTCAGTCTTTTTTTTTCCTTTTCTAGACAATTTGGAAATCCAACTGCAAGTCAAAACTTTTTTTTTTGAACTGAAAAAAAACCGGACATTCGCATTGCAGTCGTTCTGATCATCACTGGATCCAAACAATACCACACGGGCTTCGAGCAGCAGATCAGCAAACATATCAAGCGTCGAGTCTTCTGTCACGGTTTTCCCCGATAGTCCTATTTTTTGGCACAGTTCACTAACTTTACGCATTTAAATATATTTCACACTTATTTTGGTCCAAGTATTGAAGCGAAAATTTACGGATCTTGAAAAACTTTTTTTAAACAACGATTCAATGAACAGTAACCAATACCAGGGTTATTGGTGCGATCGTGCGTCCCGTTACTAATAAATACAACTGGTCAAGAACAATAAATTCACTTCTTTGCACTGGGGATAGTTTCCATACAAATACATGAGTGTGGGAAGAACACATACCAAACCTCCATGCTAACTGGCGGCAGATGGCTGTTTGCCCACAGAGCTTCATTCCATCCACTTCCAATACCGGTAATGCACCAGGAAATTCTGGAAAACTCATCTTTTAATTACAAGATTCTCTTTTTTTTGTAAATCCAAATTTAAAGAAGTTGCTTTACAGGTGATGAGTCACTTTTTCTAAGGGATGGCTTAAATGATATGTTTTATCACGTGGTACTAAGAGCCGTGCAATCTTGGCAGTATAAATGAGCAGTGTTGGCCGGTAAGGTTCACACCGGTGGCCGAATAAAGGAAGCAGATGTCTCCAAATTTCGTGGTCGTGCAGGTGGTATGGCACTCTCTTTTTTTATTTCGCATTCATCTGCAATCACTTCGCCACTCAGGGTAATCTTGGTAGACTCGAATTTTAGTGCTGAGCACTGCATCAGATTCAAAAACTGTTATACACACATCGTTTACACCGAACAAAATTTGATATAGTCTACAGTTATTTCCAGCTGTCAAATGCTGCCGCTCGAAAGCAGATGTCTGCGCATATTTGGGCTCTTAATTCGTTCGACGCCACAACTGATAACTATGTTCATGACATGCCAAGTCATATTGTCTGTTAAGCACTTTTTCAGAGAAGGAACACCTTGATAAACGCAGCAGGAGGAATGGACAGATGGAGGATTGTTATTGGTATATTCGCTGATATATTTCTACGCATGAGTATCTTCTGAAGCCAGAAAGGTAGGACTGTTAAAAGCAGTCTGACTCTGCTTCTAAAATGGAGACAAAAATTACTGGAATAAGAAAAAAGGCAAATAAAGGCTAACGGAAGCTAAAATCCAAAAAATTGAAAAAGGCAAGAAATTATCCTAATAGGATGGTTCTTTTAAACAAAATAGCGAAAAATTATGGCAAAGGGGCAAATTCAGACAAAACGACGCGGAAATTAGCAGAGACAAACCAAACTGTGTTTTTAAGCATGAAAAATAAAACAAATCCAGAAATACTTGATCCCGTAAAGATGCCCTGCAGAATCAAGCAGAGGATGGAATCCAGGTAGCAACGCGTTGAACTTGCCGATGTGATCAAGCGTTTTTGCATGATTTCGTACTGAAGTGGGATCGCCTGAACTGGCACAGATCGCTATGTTCTCAAAAAATTTCAGCTTCATAGATCAGTGGCTCCCAAAATCGCTTTGCCGTCAAATGTAGTTTACCGTGTCTGTATGCTAATACAAGCATACACAACTGCTCATTTCACGAAAGGGGCTCACATATAAGCAGCAAATGTTCTCTTAAAATTAGAGGAACTTATTCACCCCAGTTCCCAAATTGGCATTTTGCTAGCTGCTGCGAAATCACAATCCTAGTGTGTCCGAGCACGTGATAAACATGCAATAAAACTGATTTTGTTTGGTTCCCAAAATCACTTTCCTGCCAAAAATTTACATAAATTATTTTAGGCACCAGTATATAAGACCTAGACGTACAGGAGCGATGATTTTAATCCCAGGCTGCAACGCACCAGGCTTGCCGTGCGATCACGCGTTTTAGCGCTAAACTTGCAGGTCGCTAACAGCAGGAATGATTCCTGCTTTCTAGTTTAACATTTTGACTCATATTGGCCGTGTTTTAGCATTTTTCTGCATGGAGGGAGAAACAGCATCGGTTGGGACAAAAGCGTTGCATTATGAGGCCACGCAAAACCCCGACTTGCATGTTTACCAGTTTTTTGCATGGAGCCCAGTCGTTTTTCCGGTAAACGGCCATTCATCAGAAAAATGCTTATTCGATGGAAGTCGGGACAGGATTATGAAATCCGTTTTTGAGTTTGCGACAGAACTGAGTATCTATCATGCCGTGTGCACGGAACTTCACTTCCAAGCTGGATTAGACCGCAAGTGAATGTAGAATATTCTTGCAAAGTTTCAGTCTCGCAGTTTGTCTCCGTAAACGAAATAACTCCACTACAAGTATTTTTGAAGTATACTAAGTTGTAGCAAAAGTGGTAACTGAAACTCAATTTAGGTATACGTTTTCTCAGACGGATGACAAATATTTTGACAAAATTTCAGTTACTCTTTTCGTACTAGCTTACGAGTTGGCTCAATGCCAATTTTAAAATTTAACGTGGCCGTTCATGCGGTATAGTCGCACGCGATAGCTGAATTTAAAATCTTTAGCTCACGCATGCACGAAAAATATCTCTGCGAAGTTACAGCTTTCTACTTTTCCTGGTTCACGAAATCATTTTCCGCCAAAGAAAGTTGCACATTTTTTTCGGAAAGTCCATACCCGAGATTTAGGGGCGCATGAGAAAAGATTTTAAAATAGTAGGCTGACAAATGAGGTGGAAGGATGAGGTGGAAGGACCCTCTTTCAATTCATGAACTAGAGGAGCTAGAAAGCTGAAACTTCGGCAGCGCATGCCCACACCATGTGCGAATTTCCTGTTTCAATATTTTCATTCGCCTACGCTCATCACACACAGACGCTTAAAAGGAATATATAGATTTTTTTGCTCAAAAAAAAAAAAAAAAATTGCAAGCTGAAATTTGACAGGATATTCTCTGCTCCTGTGTGAGCTAAAGATTCCAAATTCAGCTTTAACGCACGCATACACCTTGTGTACGGGCACTACAAAGTTGGGATTTCGCAATCGTTGGCAAAATAATAATTCAGGAACCAAGTTATTTAGAACGTTTTAACCTTACAAAAATATTTGTTTTCCAAAATAGGTGCGTAGGCTCAAAATCAGCTTTGGCATAGCCTGTGTCCCGCGCCTCCGATACGTTAAAAACTTCGGGTAACAGGAAGCAATTACACCAACCAGAAATGCTAGGGAATTTAAACTTTACGAGGGTATCACATGCCCATGTGCGGCGAAATATTTCAATTTGAGCATTACAGGATGTCTAGATCTCGCGTAATTCAGGAACCAATTTATTTAGAACGTTTTAGCATTACAAAAATATTTGTTTTCCAAAATAGATGCGTAGGCTTCCGGGCACTTTTGGCATCCAAATAACTCGGTAACCAGAATGAGCGGGGAGAATATTCCTGAAGCTGTTACTGTTTGTTTGCGGGTCACCAAGGTAAAATAAGTTTTAGCATAGGTACGGGCTGTGAGTACAGGCGCATCAAATGATCAAATTGCAGCACCGCGCTTACCCTTCAGTAGTACAGGCGACTTCTCTGCAGAATAGAACCCAGGCTAGAATGCACCAGGCTTGCTGGTGCTATCATACGTTTTCGCACCAGACTTGAAGTACTCAGGTCATTAAATGCATGAATGGCTTTGTCTTACACCTGTCTTTCGCGCTCACTAACATAAACCATCGTAAATTTCGCAAAAAAGAAATGAACAGTTTCCGTTTAACGGTCTTTCTTAGAAAATGACCTAGCTGTTCAGTAAGTAATTTTCGCGCCGAAATTTCTCGATGCCCGTACATGAGGATCACCTATGCCCTGGAGGCTGAGTTTCGAACATTTAAGTTGTACTTTGACAGAAGACATTCGCTTAAAGTTTCAGCCTTTTAGCTCTTCTGGTCCTCGAGTTGAAAGTGGGTGACAAAAAGTGCGAACGCACAGACACACACACACACACACACACACAC